ACAATTCAATGACTGGCAGCGGCTATATTCAGATAAAGACCTGGACGTAGGCAGTCTGCATTCAGTGATGTATATCCATAGCTGTACACAAGTCTATCATTGATTAGTACAGGCAACCCCTGTGGCTACCTGGCGCAGAGATCAGGGTGGTTTATACGCTACATGCATCCATGTGGATGAGCCCTTAAATCAGCTGGTGCAGAGTCCCACAGATCATTTTCTTTTGAAAGCGTAGAAAAGCCTTTCCCTTGCCAGTATGGCTCTCTGTGGGGAAGCAGTGGTCTCTCTGCAGAGGACCAACACCACCTGCTGAGTCAGATCCAGAACTCTACAATCGGCAGGTGCATAAAAATGGGGTGCTAAGTCTTACAGTTTGATTTCTTTATAAAGCAGCCACAGCCTGAGTAGAAAAGCCTGTCCCCTGCCAGCTGCCGAGAAGGACTCATGCTCACTGTGTGGAAGCAGTGGTCTCTCTGCAGACGCACCAGATCTAGAGTTCACCAATCACCAAGGAGCATGAGCTTAGTACTTAGCCACAGAGCCACTCTGTGCAGCACAGTAATAGGAAGGTGTGATCGCATGGTTGGACAGAGAAGAGTCTGTTGGTAGAAAAACCTTCCGGCTTTGTCACAATTTGAATAGACCATGTCAACTGACAGTGAGCAATTTTGTCAGACAGAAAATGGCAGGAAGTGCATATCTTTTATTCTGCCTATGTGTCAATTTTATCCTTGTTACTGAGTGAACATACTAAGGTATGGACGTGCATGGGAGGAAGAGTCTGCAGGAGCCAGAGTATTGCACTCCCCATGCACAGATCGCGGTTGCAATGCTTCACTTGCTCCAATGCAAACAAATAAATGCAGTTTTTTTTTTTCTTTCATGAATTGGAGGGGTGACACCAAAATGACTGACAGTGATTTTGGTGTCACCCCCTATGAAAAGTCAGGCACTCGGTCACGGACCGAGAACCCGACAGTGTAAGGAGAGAGGAGGTGACCCGGCAGCATACCTCATCCTGATGGCTGAACGTCCCCTCCTCTCTCTGCTGGAGTCCATCACCAAGATGGCCGCCGGCAGGCGTCAATAAGACGACCATGCAGGCGCGATGACGGCGGGGTATCATCCGTTCTCCGCTCCTGGTGTCACCCAGCCTTGAGATCTGTGTGCATTATAGTAATTACAATAAATAGAAAGCTTTGGATATTATGTAAATCACTTATGGTGATGAGTAGCAATTTTTGTGTATGAATCATAATTTAGGTCTGCAGAGTTCCATATAGAGGGATTCTTTAAATGAGAACTATGAGGCGAGTGCTTTTCACTCACCTCATAGTTCTAGCCGACCTGTGACAATGAGACTGTCACAGGTCGGCTCAGTAGATCGGGAGGTGAGCGAACACATACCGGCGTTCGCTCACCTCTCGATCTTGTCACGGCTCACTGCCGTGACAGGGGCTGGATTACCCCCTCCCCGCTCCGTATTGCCAGCGCTGACTGGCGGAACGGACGGGGGAGGGGGCGGGTACAGCTGGCTCTGCCTCTAGATACTCATGCAGCTGGGCGGATCCAGACATTGTCGGGATCCGCTTCAGCTGCGGCGTCTCAGTATACCGCGAGCTACAGATCGCGGTATACTGAACCTAGGGTGACGGGAGGACGCTAGTTTGTGTCCTCCCGTTACCCTAAGGAGAACTATGGGGAAAAGACTTAACCCCATAGTTCTCCTTTAATAAAAAATGAACCTATAATCCCCGGCACAACTCACCTCTCCCAATAGCAGCTTTAGAATCTGGTTGGTGGTTTCAAGAATATGTATACATAAACATTAAAAAAAGTTACCAAAAAGGTTATTTCTTACCTGTGTCTCTGTCGCGCGCTCCCGGCTGAAGATCTGAAGATTCTTGGGCGGCCGCGAAGGATCATGGGGCGGGCCATGCACAGTAGAGATCTTCTGCCGGGAGAGGAGGAGAGACACAAGGCAAGTCAATGCACACAGCCCGGCAGCATGCATGCGCACAGACACCGTGGGACACAGGAGACACAGGAGTCAGAGCTGGATCAGAGACCGTCCCCAGCGCCGGAGGCACTCCTGAAAACTACTGGAAGGAAGAAGATGATCGGATCAAGAGGCATTATTTATGGTAAGTCTGTAATTAAAAACACTATGACACCCTATGAACATTAAACCTACCCTGTGATCCAGAAGAAGGCAAAACCCCTTATAAAAGCACGCTCCATTTTTTTCAGGTAAAAAAAATGCTGAATAATGTCCAAAGGCAATCAGGTAATTCCCGGGATTCCCAATCTTATCTGTTATAAGCGCCGGGAAGGACGAGTGGAGTCATTTCTGCCAAACTGATTTATAGAAATTCGTCTATAAAGTTTCCCCTACATTTTGCTCAATTAGCTGCTTGGATGACGCTTGTCCAATGAGAAATGATCTACTCTTTTGTTTTATTTATTTGGAGGGGGTGTTTTCTTCTATTTTAGGGGGGGGAGGGGTGTATTTAGGGTAGTTTAGTTTATTTAGTGCTCACTGTATTAATTTCCGTTAGTGAGTGTGTGTGAGTGTGTGTATTTGTGTGTGTGTGTGTGTACGCAATTTGATTGTTATCTGGGTGTCGTCCCATTACATTTTTTAAATTCCTTTTATTACTTTTTTCCTTCTCTTTTTTTTCTTTCTGTAAAAAATGTACAATAATGAGGCAAATGAGGGGCTATTCCTTCGCACAAGAACAAGTGCAGAATAGTTAAAAAGAGGTCGTGTAAGCCATTCTAAAAGCATTGCCATCCTAAAAACTAGGGATGCACCAATCCCGGTTTTTCGGTATAGAGAACGAGTACCGATACTTTGCTTTCGGTACTCGCCGATACCAAGTACCAATACCGGTGCTTCCGCTAGCATGGAGGTGGCTTCCTGGGCAATCAGGAAGCCAGGTAGCATGTTACTACATGCTGCCCGCCTTCCTGATTGCCCGGGAAGCCAACTCCATGTTGTTTGGCCGGCTCGATTGTGATTGGCCGGAAAACCGCTTCCCATCCAATCAGCATGGAGCCGTCTTCCCGGCCAATCAGGAAGCCAGGTGGCGATTAATGACCCGCCTCCTGGCTTCCTGATTGGCCGGGAAGCCGACTCCATGCCGATTGGCTGGAAAGCCGGCTTTCCAGTCAATCAGCATCAAGCCAGTTTCCTCTCCAATCAGGAAACCGGGAGGCGAGTAATGACCCGCCACCTGGCTTCCTGATTGGCCGGGAAGCCGGCTGCATTCTGATTGGCTGGAAAGCCGGCTTTCCAGCCAATCAGGAAGCCAGGAGGCGGGTCATTACTCGCCACCCATGCATTCGGGGCTGATCTGAGGTCTGAAGCGCATGCATTGGAACTAATCTGAGGTCAGAAGTGCATGCATGCATGCATTGGGGGCTGATCTGATGTCTGAAGTTTATGCATTGGGGGCTGATCTGATGTCTGATGTTTATGCATTGGGGGCTGATCTGATGTCTGAAGTTTATGCATTGGGGTTGAACTTGTTTTGTGTGTGCAGCAGTTAATGGAAAGTTGAACTCAATTATTATTATATAACTATGAATAGATGTATGTATCTTGCCATTAGCAGTACAACTCTGAGTGAGAAAGTGAAAGCGATCTAAGACTAGAGCGCGCTATTGTTCGCTGGCACGCGGTTGTCTAATGCTACATGATACTTATTGTGGAAAAGGTTGCTGACCCCGGATCTATCTTATACTGACAGATCTTAATTTATGGCTGGATATCCGTAGCGGACTCGTTAGCCATTTATGAGTTGATAGTCTCCTGGTGCCTGGCATAGATATCTGTTATCATTTGCATGCTCTGTAAAGTTATAGGGCCCTTCTGAAGCAGTTTGGGAGTTCATGGAACCTTTTCATGGCCCCTTTGGAGCTCGAAGAGAGAAATATGTTCCACTAGATTGTGAATTTTCCTCCCCGGAGCTAGTATGTGGTTTTATCCTTCGCCCATGCAGAAACCCGGTCATTTCCTTAACAAATAAACCGAACTCCAGTCTATCGGCCTCATGCACATTTAACAAAAACAAAGATGGGAACTGAGGTAACCGCCAATGTAATTGTGTTCAGTCAGTCAGTGATCCTGACACCCCTTCCTGACTTTACAATCAGGTGCTAAGTCTTCATGGCGGCAACTGAACAACTTGGTCAGGAACATGCCCCTGGGCCAGTTGATTGGACAGTACAGAATTGTATTTTGTATCCCAGAGACACAACAGGAAGTGAGAGGAACTCTCTACAAAGTCTGGACAATTCTTCTCTTAGGGGGTTATTCACAGAGGAGTCGAAGGATCCAGCCGTATCTTCGGCGGATCCTTTGGCTCTCTTTGGCAGCCGGAGCCCTTCGGTGCAGTAGATATGCTTCGGCTTGACTGAGCCGAAGGCAGCCGATGCACGGCTGAAATCAGCCGCACTGAGCCGTAGTGAATAGCTGAACGTTGTTCGGCTCACTTCACTTTGGCTGGGTTATTCACTCGGCTGCCTTATGCATGCACTGACCTTGGGTATAAGGGGGAGATGGATTTATATCAACCACAGAATCAGCACCAGTTGGAGACAGCAGCTGACGGCCAGTCTTTACATTAGCACGCACACGTGTCATATATTGTTGTCTTCCCCTGTCAAAAAGAAAAGAATTTAAGGAATGATGATGAATCAAAAGATGATGAATCGGTGAGAGCAAACTGTAAATATGGTCACTGTATTCTAGAATTGCTCTGTCTGGTTACATAAATAAAATAAAAAATCTTATCATTTAATTCAATAAATGTGTAAAGGCAATCAGATAATTCCTGGGATTCCCAATGTTATCTGTTATAAACACCGGGAAAGACGAGTGGAGTCATTTCTGCAAAACTGATTTATAATAATTGGTCTGTAAAGTTTCTTTGCTTATTGAGCTGTTTGGATGACATTTGCCTTAGATAAGAAATGACCTACTCTTTTTTTTATTCATACTAGTGAGTTAACCGGATAGATTTAGCCGCAGTAGTGGATCCAGTCCTCCCCCCCTTCCCCCCAGTAAATACCAACAAATACTTCATCATGGTAAGGTGTACTGGTAAACTAGATACATTAGTGCATTACAATGAAGAAATGGAAAGATGAAGAAAAATGTAGTAGCACATTACATCTACTCCAATAATTAGTGTGAGGATCGCAGTGGGAGAGGTCAGGTGAGCTCTGTACCCCATAGCTGAGATGAGAAGTCAGGGGAACTCTGCACCCCATAGCTGGGATTTAAGGTCAGGTCAGTGGCAGATCCACGGTGGGGGAAGAGGCAACAGAGCAATTTTCGCAGTAGGATGCAGGGACATTTTCATGAGAACCTAGGAGCAGCTAACTAATTAAGAGCAGGCATGGGCCGTGTGCTACCATGGTCCGGGGGGACTGGCCCAGAGCTCCCTGGCACTGAGGACCAGGATACGGGACCCAGCTCCAGTCCTCTATAGATGATAGTATTCTACATTGCTGTATAATGTATTTCTGGAATTTGTATCCCTCTATAGCTGGTGGTAGTCTACATTGTTGTATAATGTATTGCTGGGATATGTAGCCCTCTATAGCTGGTGGTAGTCTACATTGTTGTATAATGTATTGCTAAAATTTGTAGTCCTCTATAGCTGGTGGTATTCCACATTGCTGTATAATGTATTTCTGGAATTTGTATCCCTCTATAGCTGGTGGTAGTCTACATTGTTGTATAATGTATTGCTAGGATTTGTAGCCCTCTATAGCTGGTGGTATTCCACATTGCTGTATAATGTATTTCTGGAATTTGTATCCCTCTATAGCTGGTGGTAGTCTACATTGCTGTATAATGTATTGCTGGGATTTGTAGCCCTCTATAGCTGGTTGTATTCTACATTGCTGTATAATGTATCACTGGGATTTGTAGTCCTCTATACAGTGGCAGAACTACCAGGGTCACAGCAGTCGCAGCTACGACCACGCCCTAGCCTTTCCTAACTTGGGGAGGCCCTAGTAACTGCCGACATTGCAAATTATCCAGCCCCCCCTCTCCTTCCTTCAACATGGTGTCCTCCATCCTTCATACTGTGCCTGGACCGTGTGTATCACATAGCTCCACAGCAATAAAACATAGTAATGTGCAGTGTGGATGACAGACCCATATTAATGACAGGAGATTCAATTCCTACACACAAAAAATGTCAGGAAGTGTAAAAAAAAAAAAAAAAAACAACATAATGTATTATTACAATATTCTGTTCTGTAAGCAACACCTTATTTTCTGGCAGTGCTCCTCCCGAGACTAGACCTTGGATCTGCCCCTTTTTAGCCGTTGGATTTTTCTTTTTGCCCAGAGGTGAAATTATTCAAGTTCTGCCTTTAAAACCAGTTTAGCTTCAGTATTATAGTAGTATGTAAAAGGAATAATAAAATGAGTGTTTCTTCAGGCCCTGCAGGAAGGAGGAGAGGGCTGAGGATGGGGGAGATGCCATTTCCTAGAAATCCTGTCTCCTCTGGCTATGTGTGATAACTCTCAGGAATGATGTGCACTCTACACATTGACTATACACTTTTTCATGGTGGGAGTGATGCCATTTATCTATAGCTTTGATGACAATGTAACAACCATAGTGTGGTTATAATGTATCCAAAAGAAATTTGAATTACTGTCCCCTTCAATATTTATCATGAATGTTTCTATCTTGGTGTCTAGTAGCATACCACCCAACTGTCCTTCATTTGTAAGCAAGTCCCTCTGTCCCTCTTTTCTCCAAAGTTGTCCATCTTTCCTCCTCATTTGTCCCTCTTTCCGCTTCATTTGTCCCTCTTTCCTCCTCATTTGTCCCTCTTTCCTCCTCAGTTGTCCCTCTTTCCTCCTCAGTTGTCCCTCTTTCCTCCTCATTTGTCCCTCTTTCCTCCAAAGTTGTCCCTCTTTCCTCCTCAGATGTCCCTCTTTCCTCCTCAGTTGTCCCTCTTTCCTCCTCATTTGTCCCTCTTTTATCCTCATTTGTCCCTCTTTCCTCCTCAGTTGTCCATTTTTTCTTCTCAGTTGTTCCTCTTTGTTCTTCGGTTATTCCTATTTCCTCCCTGGTTGTTTTCTCGTTCCTCCTCAGTTCTCAGCTGAATCTCCTAGACCTGAATGACATTCTGGATCCGAATTTGCCATTCGGGTCTGGGAGCCTCAGCTTTAGTAATATATGTATATGGCTCCCAAACCCGAATGGCGTTCGGGAGCTCCCGAATGCAATTTGGAAATTCAGATCCAGGACGCCATTCAGGTCTAGGAGATTCAGCTTTAGTATTAGTATCTGTATATAGTTTTCTGTGGTATTCGCAGCAAATATATGTAAATTCATCCGAAACTAACGAAAATTTGAATTTTCCCCGAATCCGAAACCCGAACTGAATTTTAGATCCGAATCCCGAATCCCAAAATAACGAAATATCCGAAACAAACTTTTACCCAGCTTACATGTCTAATAGTATATATATATATATTTACACTATATTATCAAAAGTATTGGGACGCCTTTACACGCAGATGACTTTGGTGGCATCCGGTCTTAGTCCATAGGGTTCAATATTGAGTTGGCTCCACCCTTTGCAGCTATAACAGCTTCAACTCTTCTGGGAAGGCTTCTACAAGGTTTAGGAGTGTGTCTATGGGAATGTTGGACCATTTGTGAGGTCAGGTACTGATGTTGGACGAGAAGGCCGAGCTCGCAGTCTCCGCCCTAATTCATCCCAAAGGTGTTCTATCGGGTTGAGGTCAGGACTCTGTGCAGGCCGTCAAGTTCCTACACTCCAAACTCCCCCATCCATGTCTTTATGGACTTTGCTTTGTCCACTGGTGTGCAGTCATGTTGGAACAGGAAGGGGCCGTCCCCAAACTGTTCCCACAAAGTTGGGAGCATGAAATTGTCCAAAATGTCTTGGTATACTGATGCCTTAAGAAATGCACTTCAGCATGAGCTGACCCCGGCTCTGTCATTTTACGTGTCCTACCACTTCGTGGCTGAGATGTTGTTGTTCCCAGTTGCTTTCACTTTGTTACAATACCACTAACAGGTGACCGCAGAATATTTAGCAGCAAGGAATTTCATGGAACACCTGAATCCAAGGATTTGGAGGGGTGTCCCAATACTTTTGGAATTCTAGAATTCGTGGCTACCCCGCTGCTTATTTCCTGCCATCCTGGATCATTATCTCATGGGCCGCACATTCGAAGTAGAACCCCATAGACGTTCCCCCTGTAGGGTCTACTTCATCCGGAGAAAGCCCCATAGAAGTTTTTACTGCGTACACATGGACCCAGGAGGACAATTCAACTAGGCAGGATGTAAACTTTGCTCTGACTGTACTTCCCTTTTAAAGTTCACTGTAACAATTTTTATGAGCCCACAAATTAATTGACTTTGCCCTATCTTTTTCTTTTGCAGCAAGATGCGAGAATATATACGACTCCGACATAGTGTTTGTCATCGATGGGTCTTCGAGCATCGGAAGGGCGAATTACCGAATGATCAAGACGTTTATGGAAGGTTTGGTGATTCCATTTGTAAATGTGGTCGGCCAGGACACAGTGCGTTTTGGTGTGGTGCAATACAGTGATGATCCAAGGTGAGTCTTCCAGTTTAAAATTGTCAGCAGCCGTTGAGTCATTGAGTCATATTTCGAGCACCGCACTGATCCCCAACCAGCGGCTTGTGAGTCACATGTACCTCTTAGGTGTAATGTTGCTCATTGCAGGAGTACAATGGATATGTTGGCCATCCATGCAAAGGCCAAACCACCCAACCCAACCTAGGCCATTCTAAGACAGATTTTGCAATAAGCTTGTATGGCCAGACCTGCACATTCTGCACATTCATCATCTCTGCTGAACTTTCATATTGTCCAGTTGGCAAAAGAAAAACTGCTAATACCTGCATGCCACCATTGATTCAGTAAATGAGCAGTCTGGTTTTCCTCAAATATTGACTAGTTATTGATAAATTAGGCCTGAAACCTTTCTTTTCCAATAACTGAGATGACATGCCTGCAATATGATACTTCTGAGGAGCATGAAATACCATTTGTATCCAAAATGATCAAATAGCACAGCACTGGTGTAATTTTGTTCTTTTTTTTCTGAAAGAATACTCCGGTACTCAAGTAACATATATTCCATTCTTCCTCTAGAACAGAGTTTGAATTTTCTCGATACCGGAACGGGAGCGATGTGATCCAGGCAATCCGGAACCTGGGCTACAAGGGTGGAAACACGCGTACTGGCGCAGGCTTGAGATACGCTGCAGACAACTTCTTTGGCCCAGGCACTATTCGGGCCAATGTTCCCAAGGTATTGTCATTAAGACTCACCGGAATGGAAATGTACAACAGAGCTAATGGAAACTGGAGCAGAAGGAGATCTGTTGGTCATAGCAACTGCAGATCTTCGCATTGTTCTGGGGGAGGGGGTACTGGTTGAGTCCATGCAACATGAGCATTAGTGATAAAACCAAACAGTGATGGAATGGAATGGGAACATTTGGAATGGGAATTTGGAACCAAGCAGTGATGGAATGGGAACATTTCAGGTTTTTATTGCTGTCTGTGCCCCTATGGGGGAAAGTTTCCCCCCACTTCCTGTCTTGCTGACTGTTGTAGGGATGCAAAGAAGCCTTCCCTGGGAACCTCTCCACATTGACGCGTTTCTCTACTGTTAAGCTTGTGTTTGAAAGGCGTCAGTTGGGAAGGTTGCCATGCGGGGCTTCTTTGTGTATGGTGTCTGGGACAATAAAGCTTTAATGAAGTGTTGAGGTCATTGTTATGCGGAAAGAACTTATGCTGTATTGAGCATGGATGAGCTATTGCTGATGTCAGATACCAAGGGATTCTGTGAAACCCTTTCTGCTAAGAATACAATGTGATGGAGATTTGAACCTACCTCTAATTTGCCTTGTTGTTATTTCTCCACATTGTATAGTTTTCTCCTCACTTCCTGTCTAGGTGACCCTCATCACTAGCACAGGAAGTTGGGGAAATTCTCTCCAATGGGGACACAGATGGCCAACATAATGAAGGCCCGTGCCTTTCTCCACCAAGATGGTTTGAGTGAAGTGTTGCTTTATATGGAGGGGGCCTTGGGCCAAATGTCACATGACCTTCTCCTCACAATATTGTCTCACTTCTCTGGTGTTACACTGGATAATATTCTTCCCTTTTGAATAATTTAAACAATTTTTTTTGTCTTTTAGATTGCAATCCTGATCACGGATGGAAAGTCGCAGGATGACGTAGATGAGCCTTCCGAGAGGCTAAAGAGTCAAGGAATCAAAATATTTGCTGTTGGTAAGTCCTTTTTAGTTGATGCTACAGAGCTAAGAAGTCTTAGGGGTCAGAAAGTTCTTTCTGCCCTGACTTCATACGCTGTCTCCCTGCTCCTGAGTGTATATAACAGTATAAACATAGAGGAAGTTTAATCTGCTTATAGTTTGCTTATATTATATCAGGAATTACCTATGCTCCTTGGCTCCATCTAGTGGTTGAGAATGCCAATGCGAATATCATTCAGCCAGCGTATAGCTAGGCAGATGATATATAAATCACCTCCATAGTGTAAAGTGTACTCTAATTGTATATTGGCAACACCCTCATCAGGTAATGTGAACAGGTATGGACCGGCGTGCTATGCTTGGGCTGAACTGTGTTTAGATTCTGGCTCTGCCTGGTAAAGCTACTGCACAATTCTTGATGGGGCATCCATTGGGGGATAGGTAGAACCACGGCCATTACATTTTTTTTTAAATTGCTGTCTGTATCCCATTGGTGAGATTTCCCTTCACTTCCTGTTTCACAGATGCAACAGGAAGTGAGAGGTAATATCCCCAAAGTGAGGGCAAACTTAATCATGGATGTCTGACACCAGAACTGGAATTTCAGCAGATGAATAAAGATTGAATGGGGGAATCAGAGGAAATAGTTAATTTTCAGCATATCCACCATTCTCTACTCCAGAGATGGGCAGCCTGGGCACTCCAGCTGTGTTAAAACTACAAATCCTTTCATGCCTTTGCCTCTGGGGGTCATGGCTGTAGCTTTCAGACTAGGTTCACACCTGCACTACATTGCACGACACTCAGGATCGTGTGGTCCTGTACAATGCAGGCAGCGATTGTCGCGCGGCCTTATTGATTTCAATGGGGTGACATCCGCGCGGCAATTGCAGAAGAAAGGTACCTTTTTTTGCGATACACGACGCGCGGCTGTTTTAGTGGCAATCGTTTGTGGAAGCATGGGCCGAATCGCGGCTGGAAACCGCGTGATCCGCCTGGCGTGACTGGGGTGCCATTGGAAAATAATGGTACCCACAGCACGATCAGTGCACACCTAGGTGACTCCTGACCGCGCGGCAATGCGGAATCGTGCACGTTTGCTGCGTGGTGAGGTGTCGCCTAGGTGTGCACCTAGCCTTAGAGTCTTGCAATGCAATGTGGGACTTGTAGTTCCACAACAGCTGGAGGGCCGAATTTGCCGCCCCCTGCTCTACTCTATCCTGTCTTTAGATGTACTTTATCTTCTAGGGGAAGTCATTCTTTTTTGTTCTTCTGCTCGCCAGGAATTAAGAACGCTGACAGTCGGGAACTGACGCGGGTGGCCTCCACTCCGGCTGACGACTTTTTCTTCTACGTCAACGACTTCAAGATTCTCACCACTCTGCTGCCTCTGGTGTCGCGGAAAGTCTGTGTGACCACTGGAGGAACCTACCTGCCTGAAGGCTGTAAGTCCCTTCCCTGGCTGAGCTTCATTGGCTTTCAGGGGACCACAAGTCATAGCACACCTTCCAGTAACCCGCTGGAAGTGAAGGGAATTCACCTGTTTTAATGACAACTGTCTAAGAGATGAATTCCCTTCACTTTGCTAAAATGTCCTCTCACTTCCTGTTGTGTCCTTGGGACAGGAAACATTCCGTTTTTAGATACAAAGTGCAAAACCCTTTTAGATATGTTCACAACATGCAGCTCAATGTGACACCAGTGAGGTCATAGACAATCAGTCTGAGTCTATCCCTTTCATTCCCAGCCGCTTACACAGGACCTTCCAACCTGGTTTTCACTGATCAGACAACTGGCTCCCTGAAGATACAATGGACAGCGGCCACCGGGCCCGTCACCGGCTACAAAATTGTCTACGGTCCTCTGACAGGTCAAGGGCAGCCGATCCCACTGGAGCTGAGAGAGGTATGTGTGATATTGGCCTATGTAATCAATGGCAAAATTAAAAAGCTATCATGGGGCCCTGAGCTGAGCAATACTCACCTTCCATGTCACCTTCCATGTATTACCCATGCTTTCCATGCATTGCCCATGCTTCCATTTATTGACTATGCCTTTCATGTATTGGCCATGCCTTCCAGTTATTGCCCATGCTTTCATGTATTTTCTATGCTTCCATGCATTGCCCACACCTTCCATGTATTACCCATGCCTTTCATGTATTGCCCATGACTTCCATGTATTGGCCATTCTTCCACATATTGCCCATGCTTTCCATGTATTGCCCATGCCTTACATGTATTGTCCATGCTTCCATGTATTTGCCATGCCTTCCATGCATTGCCCATGCTTCTATTTATTGCCCATGCCTTACATTTATTGCCCATGCTTCTATGCATTGCTTATGCTTCTATTATTTGCCCATGCTTTCACTGTATTGTCCATGCCTTCCATGTAGTGCCTATGCCTTCCATGTATTTCACTGCATCCATGTATTGCCCAAGCTTCCATGTATAACATATGCTTCCATGTATTACCCATGCCTTCCATGTATTGCCCATGACTTCCGTGTATTGCCCATGCTACCATGTATTGGCCATGCCTTCTATGTATTGCCCATGCCTTCCAAGTATTCTTATGTGTCCATTTATTGCCCATGCTTCTATGTATTGCCCATGCTTTATAACACAATAAGTTAATCATGTGTTAAAGCTGAAGTTTAATCTTGTTACATTTTGCTTTCCCTGGTTCCTCCTTCCCCATCATCAACATGCTAATGACAATTTTTAAATAAAACCTTTACGCTGTCATTGCATATTATGTTTTTTTTAGATACGGTGACATCACCAGTGGGTCTCTGTGCTTCTCAATGCTATGCAGGCAGATCATGACTGGTGGGAGGGGCTGCAAGGGTGCTGTACACAGCTTCTTGAAAACATCACAGCACCCTGCCTCAGTACCGGCCACTAGAGGGAGCTGAGCAGAATAGGAAGTAAATACTTATTTCCCGTGCTCCTCAGCTCCATCTAGTGGCCATAATGTATTATTACAACACACTACATTCAAACCGGAAAAAAAAAATGTTTCTGCCCATTTGCAGATATTCGCAGTGCCCCTTAAATTGTTCATAAATAGACCTCTTATTTCACATTAATGAACCCCAAATTACTCAAACAGAAAAAAAGCAACCTAAGCCCCTTTGTAGTAAATCACATGACCAGCCATTCATTTTTTTGTATCAAAAATGTGAAACAATGTAAAAAGTGTCAGTTGGCTTCTTTTTTTGATTTGTTTGGCTTTTTTGCTAATGAAAGCTTGTTAAAGGCGGTTGAAATTGCTAAAAAGTGCCTTGTGTATGGCTAGAGTTTGACACACAGACCCTGCTCTGATGACCCGATTATGACACCACTGGCCCAAGTATTTATCATTTTATATAATATTGGACAATTAAATGAGTGTGATTTCTGTCCACAGATCACCGTGACAGCAGCGCAGACAACCGCCGTCCTTGATAGCCTCCGAGCTGCGACAGAGTATTCGGTTTTAATCACGGCATTATACGCCGACAGCATTGGCGAGTCTGTGTCCGGCAAAGGGAGAACATGTAAGATTTGTGCATTGTATCCGTGAATGACAGATCTATTCTATGAGGAGGAGGAGGAGAATGTGAGAAGCGGCAAATGCCTTCGCCAGTCTCCGAATCTCGGGTTGCCATTATGTATTAGTGTAGACCTGATAGCTTGCTATGATTGACGTTAATATGATTACTATTTTGATTGATTGCTATTAATATCTGGTAAAGCAATAAGACGCGGTTACTGCTGTTATTTGGACACACAAAAGGAAATATGTTTTCTTCACTCCATGGATAACACAGTACAAAAGGGGAGTGAAAGTGGGTAATAGCTATGGATGCACCGATACCAAGTACAGTACTCGGTAGAAGTACAAGTACAGATACTTTTCCAGCTCCAAGAGTAGACAAGAGAAAAATTCAAAAGTTAGGAGGCCGCTGTCATTTGCAAGGAGCACACGGAGCTCCTGGGATTTGTACATATCTGTTTTATTGTATGATTTTGTTTTTATAAATATATATTAGTGGTGCACCGATACCATTTTTGCAAGTACAAGTACTGATACTTGTCCAAGTACTCACAGACACAAGTACTGATACATTTTTTTTTAGCGTCATGTGACAGTTTTTCTAGAACAATACAGACTAATGATTTCAGGACAGTGGTGGAGCGCCAGAGCCAGGTCCCAGCTGCAACCTCTGCAACCCTGGTAGTTCTCATGAAAAAGTATCGGCACTGGTACTCGAAAAGTATCGGTGCATCCCTAGTAATAGCTATTATTATTATTATGATGATAATGATTATTATTTACATTAATAATAATACTAATAATGGTAGCTAATGCATTTGAATTTTCACCAACACTGTCACACCTCCCTTCATGCTGGATTTTAAGGTAGCTGACCTGATGACGGTAGAAACTGGTGACATATGTCTAGAGTCTCTACATGAGATTAAACCTCCAACTTCATTAAATCTTTGATAAAATCACAGGGATCCCAACCTGAAAATAAAACAATTTCAGGGAGGTGCCCTTCTCATTTCAGGGAAGTGTGGGGGGAGGGGGAGCAAATGATGGCAGATATCACTGATAGCAATAGCTTCTTTGTTAAAGGAGAACTATGAGGCGAGTGATTTCCACTCACCTCATAGTTCTAGACGACCTGTGACAATGAGACTGTCACAGGTCGGCTCAGTAGATCGGGAGGTGAGAGAACAGATACCGGCGTTCGCTCACCTCTTGATCCTGTCACGGCTCTCTGCCATGACAGGGGAGGGGCTGGATTCCCCCCTCCCCGCTCCGATACGCCAGCGCTGACTGGCGGAACGGACGGGGGAGGGGGCGGGTACAGCTGGCTCTGCCTCTACATAGGCAGAGCCAGCTGACACTCACGCAGCTGGGCGGATCTCGACATCGATGTCAGGATCCGCTCCGGCTGTGGCGTCTCAGTATACCGCGAGCTGTAGCTTGCGGTATACTGAGCTTAGGGTAACGGGAGGACGCTAGTTTGTGTCCTCCCGTTACCCTAAGGAGAACTATGGGGAAAAGCCCTGACCCCATAGTTCTCCTTTAACAGCTGCTTTTCTTTAGTATCTTTTTTTTTTGTATTCTGACAGCTGCTGCCATCAGAATAAAAAAAAACAGCATAGGAATGCATAGCAAGATTGCTATTGGCTATTTCAATTTGCAATATCCAATAGCAAGCTGGCTATTGCACCAGCCCTCTGCTGCTGTCAATTACTAGAGGAGGACCTGATGGAGAACTTCAGGTCCACCTCTGTTGATTGACAGCAGCAGTGGGCTGGTGCAATAGCTAGTCTGCTATTGGCTATTGCAAAGTGAAATAGCCAATAGCAATCTAGCTATGCATTCCTATGGTGTCTCTCTGACTCTCTCTGAAAAACGAGATAGCAGGGAAAGGTTTACTCTGCTAGATACAACAGAGTAAACCTTTCCGTGAAAAAGTGTTTCTCTCCCGGGCTGCCGGGAGCCGCTATCCAATAGCAGGAGACTCTCGGAACGTCCGTGAGAGTTGGGATGTCTGAAACCAGGAGCAGCAGAACAGTAGAACAGTAGCTGCCTTCACATTTCAGATATAATCACCCTAAGTCATATTTAATGCTCAGAACAACTGACCACAACCCCTTCTAACAACTTGCATAAGACATTCTTCATTCTTTCAAGCAGAATTGCAACTCTAAAATATTAAAATGAAAAACTATATTGGCTGTAATTACATTGCAGATATTACCTATTAATCGTCTATTCAGGATGTAACCGTGACTTGAAGTCAAAAGAGATTAGTTCTGATTGGATCTCTTCTTCTTGGATTGTCTCTCCCGAACATTTTAGTTTAGTTTTACTTAGTGAACTAAAATGTCATTATATTTTGGTTATAGTTTTAGTTAGGGATGCATCGTTACCGAGTATTTGGGTGAGTACCTGTACTTGCCCAAATGCCCTCAATGCCTATCCCGATACTGGAACTTCTGGTATCAGGAAGCCAGGTGGCAAGTCATTACATGCTGCTCGACTTCCTGATTGGCCGTGAAGTCCGTGAAGTCCGTGAAGGCCCCATGCTCCCTCGTCACTTGATGAAAGGGGGGCATGGAACCAGCCGTGCACCCTGTAAAGAGTCGCTGCCCAGCTTCCTGATTGGTCGGGAAGCGGCCAATCAGGAAACCAGGTGGCGAGTCATTACCCGCCCCCGCTTCCTGAATGGCCAGAAAGCCAGCTCCATGCTTCCTTGTCACCTGGTGACGAGGTAGCATGAATCCGGTTTCCTGGCCAATCAGGAAGCCGGGCGCCGTGTAATGGCTTGCTGCCTTGCTTCCTTGCTTCCTAATTGGTTGACAAGCTGGCCAATCGGAAAGCCGGGCGACAAGTCATTACACGCCGCCCGGCTTCCCTAATGGGACTTCTGGGACAGTATTCATATTGGCGAGTACCTGAAAAAAAAAATGGTATCGGTGCATCCGTAGTTTTAGTCGTCATAACTTTGTTTTCATCTAGTTTTAGTCTAATTTTAGAACTGAAAAAGTGTTGTTGCCGAAATCTGTGCCAAGAATTATTAGTCAACGAAATTAACACCGCTACGTTGCTTTATTTTGCAGTAAGTGCAGCTGGGATATTGAACTTCCGCGTGGCAGAGGCCGGTCCATCCTTCCTCAGGATAGCATGGTCCATTGCTGGAGCAGAGTCGCCAACTGGATACCGGCTGACCTATTCTGTCAGAGGTGAATATGTGGTCACTCGTGTTGCTCTATTGTATCTTTTTTGCCCTTTTTATTTCTGAAAGGCATTGTCAGCCAACAACAGGAAATTATGTTACTGACAGGATCTCCGGGTAAATAATTTTGCAACAAATTCACAAAAAAGAATTTGCTAAAGAAAAATGTATACATCGTGGCTTGATGCCAAACCTTGGCATCAAGCCTTACCCTGAGATTTTGCCTATCCAGTATAATGAGTCCTTAATACTTAACCCCCCTTTTCCACACTTAACCTAAAACCTAAACCCCAAACCTTATTATTAACCCAAACTCTGAAGGTAACCCCCTAAACTCCTATCTAACATGACCTCTTAAGTAATCCCTAAACCCTCTAGCAGAATACTTGCCTTGTCCTTCTCAAGGAACAGCCAATCTGAATGTTACCAGGGCAGAACCAAAAAGTACGAGTGATTGGAACTAATGATCTGATACAATACAGTCCAACCCGTAGTACAGTCCAACAATCGGGTCTAGCCAGTCACTCCTTGCAACACTCACAGGACTATATACACATACCATATACCAATAAGAGCATTCTGAGGCCACAGCTGTCTGCATGTCCTTATTTCTTTCACCACCATTAAAAAGCAGGAGGGGGTCTAATGTATGGTTGATTCTATGGTTTTTGTACCTTGTTCTAAAAAACTATTTGAAAAATTTAAATAAAGACTTTGTAAAAAAAAAAAAAATGAAGGCGGGGACATGCCAAAGTTTCATATGGACTGACAAGAGAGAGGAGAACCATCAAATGAAAAATATATGCTCCCCATTAAAAAAACAGGGGGAGACATGGCACATATTCATTTGGGTTGTTAGAGTGGAAGGAGAACCATCTCTGTATGAGAGAAGAGGTAAAAATATGCCTATGTACCCAAAACCTAATATACAAAGCTGGAACAAAACGTTTTAGGGATGGATTTAAAACTCTACCACCACTAGATGGTGCTGAGGAATATAGGAATGCTTGTGCTCCTCAGGTCCATCTAGTGGAAGTAGTGCTGTGTAAACTGCATTCGCCCAGCTGGATAGAAGAGTTATAAATCAGTCCTATAGTATTTGAATTTTCCAAAGTCTAGGCTAGTCTTTATCCAATGAGAACATTAGATCTTTTACATGACTGTATCACTCCTACCCAATCAGTGTATTTTACCTTTCATTAGACCATATAACTTGTAGACAGGCAGAGGGTCAGAATTTGATCAGATCTAGGCCAAACCTTATCCAATGAGAACATTAGATCTTTTACATGGCAGTATCACTCCTACCCAATCAGAGTATTTAACCTTTCATTGGACTGTATACACTGTGGACCATCAAAGTTTTAGAATTTTATCAGGTCTAGACCAACCTTTATCCAATCAGAACATTAGATCTTATATATGATTGTATGAGTCCTATTTAATCAGAGTAATTACCCCTTCATTGGACCATGTAACCTGTAGACCGCCAAAGCTTCGGAATTTTAGCAGGTCTAGGCCAACCTTTATCCAATCAGGACATGACCTGTCACATGACCATAATGAAGCATTTGCAGCACTTTAAAATATTCCAGATCACACCAGATACATTTCATATATAATTTAAATTCCTATGTGTATCTCCATACATGTGTTCTTTCAAACTGAACATCTTCATTGCGTCTCTGTTTCTGCCAATTCCTCCCATGGCGATCTGATAAGATGTGTCGGAACGCATCTAACCGTACAATGTAATTTGCTCAGCAAGCCTGTGACATATCACGTTCAGAAGACCTAGCTAGTGTAGGATAATGTTCTAAATGGTATCTAGTTGTTTGACTTCTAAAAATAACATAGATTAGCGCATCTGGAAGGACGCCAGCATCAGCCTGGGACACACCTGTACATGTCTACATCTGATCCTTACATGTCTTCAGCCATAATGTATCCTCCTCCGTACCACACCCTGCCGAAGCAGTATATCTCCAACAATTAAAGAATTCTGAGCCCCGAGGCTAGCAGAGGTACAAGCTTGTGACTCACCTGCAAACGCTGCTAGCATGGATCCTTTTCATTGCTGTCTGGGATGCTCAGCTGTATGAAGATTGATGGGTGATGCGTAACGTCCCGCTCTAACTTTAAGTGTTTGGTTTGCAGGTGATGGCAGGACGGCAGAGAAGACTTTGAGTGGAAGTGCACTGTCAGATACTCTTAGTGAACTGAGACCCGATACTGAGTATGTCCTGGTACTGTATCCTCAATTCCTGAGGCAAACGGGCACACCTGCGACAATTAGCGGACGCACACGTAAGTATGTTAAATACGTAGGTTGAATAAAGACTTATCTATCAAGACTTATCTATCAACATCGGAAGTCAAAATAGGCTCAGAGCAAGAAAGCAGGACAAAGGCCCAGGACCTACATGACAGGGTAGAAGGGGTGACTAGCACACAAGGGTATTTCTATAGAACTTTTTTTCCTGGGGACTCAAAGGGCTTAGGGGGTGAAGTAGCCATCTTGGGCATGCTCTGTTGAGCAAATTAACCTACAAGCATGTCTTTGGAGATTGGTTGGCAACGAGAGTACAGAGTACCGGGAGGAAACCCATGCAAGCACAAGAAGGCCATGAAAATCCCATGCAGCTTAGGGTGATAATGGGTGTCGGACAGTGTAAAGGAGCACTTGTGGGAGGGATGGGTTTCTCATAGGTTGCCTCAGTGGTGGAGTGAAGCATCTTCTGCAGAGTGATGTCAGATAAGCTGCTTCCACCCCTCCTGCCTTTACTTGTTTCTACATTTGTACAATGATGTAAGTCATGGCAGCATTTAGCATGTTTCAAGGTCTTTGAAGGTGAGGTCATCTTGGTTGAGAAAGCCGATAGGGACCTCCTCTGGTTCCTTTTTGGTGGTCTGGTTGGAATGACCTTCTGTGGATGAAACGGAATGTATCTGTGGTTACTCTGTGTAATCATCTCTAAGGCAGTGAGCCGAGGTTGAGGTCCTAGCAAAAAACTGCAGTTGGTTACTGCAGATATAGTGCTTGGGTCCAAAACTTGGTGCCTTCAAGGACCTTTAAATGTTTTTCCCCATTTTGGTCTTTATTAAATGGTCATACAATCCCACATAGATGTATTGCGCTTCATTAACAGGATTGGGGAAGAAAATGGGTGGTAGGGATTTAGTATAGTATAGTGAATTCTGCCTCCATTTGAATTACTGTAGTCATGGTCAAGCAGAAGGCACTGTTACAACCCCTTGGCACCTGTGATCAGTTTTGCCTCACTGGGGAAAAAGATCTTTTGTGACACCACAGAAACAGAGCAAACATTTACCTAGATCAAAATACAATATTATCCTCCGGGTATTGTCCAGATAATGGATAATTATCCAGTTCCTTTCTTTAATTTTAAAATTGACTTTGCCATGACTCTCTCATATAGTTATATGGTCCATAGTGTAACCATAGTACAGTTGTGACTCTGTAGCTGGCGAGTTATGGATAAGGGCCAATTAGTGTTTTTGTGTACGTTTTACTGCCAGTTTCTATAGCTCATGGAAACGTACAACAAACCATGGTGAGGTGCATTTTCATGCCGTACATTTTGAATGGCACTCCAATGCACTATTACAGTAGAGGGCAATGCACCCACACATTAGAAAAAAAAGGGTCATGTCCATTTTTTGTAGGTCAGGTTTCGTGAGCCCATTGGCTGCCTTAGTGCAGTGCCCCTAACACATAAAGATGCAAATACAAGTGAGTTTGGGTTGCATTTCATCTGCTCGCCTCATAGGTGGTGCTGTATGTGGTCAGCTTTGCCTGCTATTGGGGAATGTTTGAAGCAGCAGGGATGACATCAACTTATTTACCATTGGATAGGTTGGAGGTGGGTAGATACCAAAGGAAGCTTAAGGGTGTAGATAGTGGTGCGACCCCCTAGCGGTGGGGAATATGTGTGTAAACTGCAAACATAACTGAACAGATTTACATAACCTTTGGTAGGTTAGATAGTTTACATACATGTATTTTAGCTATATGCCAGCAGTATGGCAGGAGTTCAGCTTTGAGATAGCTTTTTGTTGACTTTTATTCAATTGAATTGAAATAAAACAACCTTATTGATTCTTTGTATCCACAGGGCGTGTAGATGGGGTGACAGATCTCAATATTCAGGACGTGACATCCCAAAGCATGAGGATCACATGGAGAGGGATCAGAGGTGCCACTGGCTATCGCATCTCCTGGATATCTCAGTCAGGTAATTTATTTGTTTTTATAATACACAAAAAGGGCAGATTATTCAATGTGCATCATTACACAGTACTGGTCCCGTATACCCAGGGATTGGTTCAGCCATTGCCCAGACAGCCTGTCTATTCCTGCGATGGCCAGTCCTCCCCACTACAGCAATGTCTTATTTATTACTTTATGAAAGACCAAAATAATCTTGATTCAGTTTACAAAATGGCTGCCTGCATGTTAATAATGTCTACACTTCAAAGGGATCCTTTGATGTTGGGGTCTCCTCTGATCATTCAGATGTTAGGGATGGCAGCACAATTAATTAAAGTGTTTCCTTGCTTCTCAATCTCACCACAAGCTAATAACGGGCAAGAATGTGCATGGCGCCTTTGATAGCAGCAATGTAAAGACTTGTACCACGCCAGTGCCAACTGTTGTCTGCTTGGGTTATTGGGCCAAGGCAAAGGGAGTTACCTAGTTGGATGGAATTCCTGGAAGACATTCAAACTGAGATTTTTTAAGGTAGCTAATAATACAATAAGAGTTCGGCATGACAGAACACAAGTGCCCGTCCTCACACAACCTTGCGACGTATCGCCGTAGTCTGTCCGTTCATGTGCTCGGTAGGATATGGATGGAGATGTTCTCATGTTTGAGGCTGTTGTTTTCTACATTGTTATAAAAATGATTTCTAAATATTTGCAATGATAACACTAAATTATAGAGAACATTCAGTTGCTTATATGGAAGAGTGAAATGTA